CCTGGATCTTGCAAATTCATTGTTCAGCTAGACTGGCTGACCAAGTCTCAGGAATCTGTCTCCACTTCCCAATGTTGGAATTACAGATGTACACAGAACCCATATTTTAAAAAAAAAAAAAAGTATCAAACTTAGGTTCTCATGCTTACACAGCAAGCACTTCACTGACTCAGCTATTTCCCCAATCCTATAATTTTTTAAAATATTTAAAATTGTTTTATTTTTATTTTTTTATATTTTATTTTTTTTATTTTATGTGTATGAGTGTATTGCCTGCATGTATGTGAGTGCACCTGTGTCATGCAATGCTGCAGAGGTCAGAAGAGGGCTTCGAATTCCCCTGGAACTGGAGTTAAGGACCATTTGTAGCCACCATGTGGGAACTGGGACTCGAACCCCAGTCCTCTGCAAGAGCAGTCAGTGCTCTTAGCCATCTCTCTAGGCCCCAGAAATTTATGTTTTACTTTCACTCCAAAGTGCTTGATGCTTCTTTTGGCTCCTAAATCCCGTGATGTTTCAGGTTCCTCACTTCCTTACTGTTTGGCTTCTTTGCCGGTTCTGCTTCATCTCTTCTGCTTTCATCCAGTGAAATGTTTTTACTGAAACTGCTCAGTGCTCCCCTCCCCCACCTACACTCATTGCCTGCACCTCCTCCAAGCCCATGGACTAAGGTGCCACCCACAGGCTTTGCCTCCCAATCCAAGCCTCCAGTGCTTATTTGTCTCCTGAACTCCATAGTCACTGACCTATCAGCTGACCCTCCATCTCCTCAAGATCCAATAATGCATGTACACATATGGTCATTTGCTTTCCCCTTAATCTTTCCAATTTTTTCTAGATTTTTTAAAAAAATGGCAATTCCATTGAATCAGTTGTTCAGGCCAGAATTGTAGAAGCCATGCTAGATACTCCTCTCTCTCTACCTGCATCTGTACATCAGCAAGGCTTGTTTTAACTCCAGAACATGCCCCAGAGTGACCCCTTCCATATACCCTCCAGCCCCAGGTCCAGGCTTTCACCTCCCTTGCCTGGGATAAAGGCTGGAGCCTCTACTCTGACTTCAGAGTCATTCTCCCCAAACAGCTGAGATTATCTCAGAGGGGCCAGCCCTGTTCATTCCCTGAAAAAAGGTCTACACTCCTTATGGCACCATGAACAAAATCCAGTTCCCCATAAGGCTGCTGAGAGCTCAGTTTTGATAAATTCTTCGCTTAGTCCACAGACTCCAGCCCCACCCATCAACACACAGTTGGGCCTTCCTTAGGTTTGGCCCTGCCCAGCTCTGGTTCCTCATGTTCTTTAGACTGGTAGAACCTTTCACCTAGAACGCCCCTATTCACCAGATTCAACCAGAGTAAATCAGATTGCATACTGATGTCCAGTCACATCTTCTAAGAGTCCTGTCCCTCAAATTAGCTCATTGCCCTCATTTCCCTTTCTGGTGAGAAGTCCAGTCCATTTCCAGTTAGACTGTACCTTTGGTCATAGAGCGGCCTCAGAGGAAAGGCTCTGACCATTTTGGCAAAGAGAGGCTTCCTCTTATTCTGGCACCTAACCTGTGGCCGTGGGGCCAGGTAGAGGGGATGCAGATGGTAGGCATGTTGCAGGACTCGCAGATAGCCGCCCACTGCCCACTAGAGGGCAGTGCAGTCTAGCTAGAGAGGACGCGAGAGGGGCTCTAGCCACAGCCCCTCGCTAGGCTGCCTCAAGGTTCCGCGGACGGCTCACAGGGGCAGAACCTCTGTCCTATCGTTTCCAGGGATTATTAAAGCCAGTCTTGACAGATCCGGAGTGGGCCATAATGTCATCAGGTCAGAGGATCTGGCGCTCTGCTCTCGTCCCAGATATCGCTGTTTCATCCTGGGACACATAGGGAAGCCGAAACCAACGGGTTGGGGTCCGGGGAAGCGACTGGTCGGTCCTGAGTCAAGCGACGTTAGCTAAACTTTCCAGACGTTATGGGTCCCGAGCTGGACTCTGCCCCACTGCGTGCCACAGCCCTGCTCCTCGCAGAGAGGGTGCAGAGTAGGGAAGGCATTCCCGTGTCACCCACCAGCGCCCGGCTGGAGGGGCGGGGCTCCTCCCGCTTGCCCCACCTCCATTGGCTGAGGTGCAGGGGGCGGGGCGGGGCGGGGCTCGGCTGCCAGATGTTGGGGCGGCGGCGCTAGCCAGGGAGTGAGGAGCCTCGGAGTAAGGTCGAGGGTGAGGGCGCCGCTGGTCGGCCAACCCGGCCCATTCTGCGCCGCTGCAGCCCGGGATCGAGAAGAAGCCGGCTGGCCTAGACCGGGCCACGGCACCGGCATGTACAGCGCTCGGCTTGACAGCTTCTTGAGCCAGCTCCGCTGGGAACTGGTGAGACTTGGGAGTGGGTGTGGTTGCGAGGACGTGGGTGGGCTGCCTGGCTGCTGCCTGGCCACAAACGGGTGCGGACTGGGCCTCGGGGACCCATCCGGGGCAAGATGGGGGTAGGGCGGCGCTGTGCAGATGGCTCAGATGGCCCGCGTCGGGTTTCCGACGGTTGGAAATTGCTCTGGGCATCAGGTAACAGGCGCCCAGCTGGCCATGCCGCTGGGCGATGGGGGAGGATCGTGGAGAAAGAGGTTTCTTTTGGGGCTGGGCAGGGAGATCCAAAGGCCTAAAGACATGCTAGTGCTGCTGTGGACATCCCCTACCTCGGGCTGGCCTGTACCTTCTTCCTCTACCCTGCTTGCCCGCCCTGGTGCGGGTGCAGACTTGCCCAGCCCTGCGTGCTGCAGCCTGCCGGACTGCCACCAGGTCTGCGGATGGGAGCCACAAGAGTCTCGTGTGCCAGTGCCCCCATGCGGGCCCTGTGCTCACTTTCCGCCTTGATGCCTAGAGGCCTTTCAAGCCCTCCTGAACACTCTGTTCTCAGGGCTGGCCTGGTTAGACACTAGTAGGGGTGACAAGCAATAGCCCTCCCACTTCTGCCCTCTCTTCTCCTTTAGTTGTGTGGCCGGGACACAGGCTCACCTCCAATGCCTGGCCCCCTGCAACCACCACCCAAAACTGACCGAAGTGTACAGCCAAACCACCAGCTCAGGGCTTCAGATACTTTGGAAGAGGATTCTGTTTGCTGTGTGGAAGAAGAAGAGGAAGCCTTGGTGGAGGAAGACAGGGGTGCATCCTTGGGATGTCCCAGGGAACATGCCCTAGACTGGGACTCTGGCTTCTCAGAGGTGTCAGGCAGCACATGGCGAGAGGAAGAGCTGCCCATACGCCAGCGCCCAGTAACCCCAGGACGGCCCCCTCATAGCCAGCGTTTCTCTGTCAGTGACCTCCCTGTGCCCAGTAGGGCACCTGTAACCAGAGTATCACCAGCTCACCGTCCACGGCCCAAGTCCACCCCAGATGCTTGCCTGGAACACTGGCAGGGACTGGAAGCAGAGGACTGGACAGCAGCTCTGCTGAACAGGGGGCGTAGTCGCCAGCCCCTGGTGCTGGGAGACAACTGCTTTGCTGATTTAGTTCATAATTGGATGGAGTTGCCTGAGGCAGCCAGTGAGGGGAGTGATGGATGTGCACCTCGAGCCCGTACTCGACCCCCTCAGTTCCTGCTTGGCCTCTCTGAGCAGTTGCGGCGCAGGCTGACCAGGGCTCGCAGAGCAGCTATGGCAGGAAAGCGGCTGTCATGCCCACCTCGCTCAGAACCTGACCTGCCTGCGGACATCTCAAGCTTTGCAGCCCTCATGAACTGTCGCAGCCGCCAGCCCATCATCTACAGTGATGTCAGCTACCTCTGATCCTGCCTTCCTGTATGAGACAATAAAATCCTTTTTTCTAGATTGTTGGTTCCATACTCCTGAGGCTTCAGGAAGCAAACCCAGCCCTGTGAAGTAACTGAGACAGGCAAATTGAGAGTCTTTCCTTTCCTTTTGAGGGACACTGTCTTGCCCATATCACACTCATAACATTACCAACCCATGTTCTGTTATCATCTAGCCTTTCCAGTTATGCCTTCCTTCAACATGAGTTTATTGAGTGTCTGCTATGGGCTCAAGATGAAGAATTCCTTTAGAGCCAAGTGGTTGTGTGGTGGCTGCCTTGTCACAGCTCATAATGCAGAGGTGGGAAGGCAGCTTCATCTTCCTCACCCTCACAGCTCAGCTCCAACACCAGTACCCGAAGCCCAGGTTCAGGCATCCTGCCTGTCACTTGCTGAACCAGTTCTGTCACCCTGGTATGGGAGAAGGGTTAGGGGAGATTGGGTAGGTGAGCTAAAGCAGACAGAGGGCAACCTGACATAGACTACAAGGTGTTGGTGGGCCCTCTTACAAGAGTCCAAACCAGGAGCAGAAGCAACTCAAGACAGGAAACATCTGAAACTATTTTAGGAACAGCTGGTGGAGCAGGCAGGAGGCAGGAAGCTGTGAGTCCCCTGGGAGTATGAAAAGGGGGCTGGGCAGAGTGTGGGGCTCCAAGGGGACTGGCCAAGCAGACAGCTACTGAAGTCCTCTCCTTAGGCTTTTAGCCCTCCCCCTACCCCCAGGCCCATTTGCTGGCTCCATTTGGTGAAAGAATGCTTCAGGAAAGTGTGAGGGGCCTAGAATGGGGTTGGGGAAAAAGAAGCTAGCTGTTCTAGATCCTCAACATCCAGGGACATGGTAGGGTCTGGCTACAGCCAAGTGCCAGCTTACCTGAGGTGCAGGTATTGAGACAGCTTTTCAGATGGCCATCCTGCAGAATAGAGCAGGGCCTGGCCATGCAGCAGCATCTTTACCCTCAGCCCATGTTCCTCCTAGAGAGATACAGATCAGATACCCACTCGGCCAGGCCGGGCCTGGGAGCAGAGTGGGGACAGGGCACACCTGGATATGGGCCAGCAGTGACTCCAGTGTCCTCTCAGGCTGCCCAGCAGGCACCTTCAAGCGATCCCAACAGGTCCATTTCAGGTGCTGGAACTAGGAGGTAGAGATGAGGAGGAATTGGAAACTACTCACACAAATCTACAACCCCTGGCCCAGTTACTAGCAGCTTTTCCTGGAGGAGGAGCCAGACTAGAGGCAGGAAGCAGGAGCCAAGGGGTTGGGGGTGGAAGGTGGGATCTGGGCCCAGAGTCTCAGCCCCCTCTTCCCTGCTCAGGCTGGGGCCAGCACAGGAAATGGGGCTATGGGGCCCTGTATAGGGAAACAGACATCCATCATACAGGCCAGTTTGGGGGGGGGGTGGCTGAGGGGGTGGTGCTTCCTGAGGAAGCTGGAGCAGGGCTGCTGCAATCTCTGATAAAACAGCTTGTTCCTCAAAGGCGAGGCTGGGAACTGGGGGATACATCCCTAGCAACTCCAGTCCTTACATAGAAGGCCTTGGACTGCTCATGGGCATACAGAAACACAAGGCACAGTGACCACAGGACCCTACTGATCCAGAGATCCCAACAGAGACACAGTCCATAGAAGTCTCCCCTTCTTATCCCATCTCCTTCCCTGCTTCAAGAGCCTTGAGGTTTGGGTGCTTAAAACTGAGGACAAGCATAAGGCAGCCAGAGTCCAGGATGGGTCCTGCCACCCCTCAGAAAACATACTGGGGTTGAGCTGAGACTAGGCCAGAGGCAAGATGGAGATTCCTGCCCACCCCCATTCCATGGATAAAGGCAGTACCTGTGTGCTGGTTAGAGGTGGGGCACCTCACAAAAGGGCTCTGTGTGCTTGTCCAGAAGGACCCTAGGGCTAGCTGGTGACCTCTGTCCTCTCCCCTGATGAGGACATTCCCTCTACCCCCTTTCCTGTGTCTCAAGGAAATGCCAACTACTGCAGAGCCCAGGCACACAATTGTAAGCATTCCCAGCCCTGCCTTCACAGGAACACCCAGGCATGCAAACCTAGCAACACCCACATGCACATCCATATATGTCCACCCTGAGGATCCTTACATTCTCATCTGGCACACAGATGTGCAAGCTTGGTTCCTCAATGCTCACACACAGAGATGCCCAGACCCTGGTACACCCATACTTGTGGAATAAACATACTACATAGGGCTGAGACCCACACTCTTAGTTGCAAGCCTGGTACCATTTAACTTGGCTTGGGGTAGGCAGGACAGGGCTCTACAGAGAGAAGCTAGACTCTGGAGCTCAGTACGGTGTCCCCTCCCGACTCCCTCTTTCTTGTCTCTCCCTCTCACTAGGATTCTCTTGGAAAGGAGGGGGCTGTGGGGGATGTCTGGCTCCACTAATCAGTTAAAGCTGTAGCTCCCCCAGACCCTGGACTACAGGGGGTTTGGAGGGGATGGATGATGCCTGCTTCCTGTGTCTGACAGATCCCAGCCTGGCTTCATAACAGAAAGGGGGCTAGAGAGAGTCTAGAGGACTCCCCCACAGTCTGAGTCCTGGAGCAAGTCTACAGCTAGAGAGAAGCCTGTTTGGGTTTGTAAAGGAAAAACTCAGGACTAGTAGGGACAAGGGTAGGGTCTCAGGGGCTCACCATCTGGATGACTGGGGCAGAAGGCACTGAGCGTATGAAGTGGTTTTCAGCCAGATGCAGATAGCTGTGTCGAAAGGTGCCAAGAGTCCATGACCCACTTACCACCTTATACAGCTCCAGGCCTAGTAGGCCTGCCACAACCGCTGTACTGGTAGCAATGGCTGGGATAATCTGGCTCACAATCTTCTTGATCTGCCAAGGACAGGGCATTTGGTCTGAGCTAAAGGTATAAGGCTAGGATTTGGCTTGAGCCCCCAAAGGATGGGGTTACCTGAGCACGGTTGACTGGTAGGATCCCATAGTTCTGAGACCGCAGGTCTGTCGCTGCTGCCACAAAATCCATATGGAAGTTGCTGTCATCATCCTGCCAGACCCAAATGGCAGTAGTATTAATGCTGCAGCAGTCTCGCTCACCATGGCCAACTGTGTGCCGCTGACAGGGTTTTGCAGTTTTGTGAATGCCCACTGTCTCACAACACATCAGGTTCAAGGAGAGAGAGCTGCTTCAAAGGCCCTGATGGGAGGGGAACTCTAGCTCCCATACTACTCTATTCCTCACCTTCCCTTACCCCAATTCTTCATCCCCACCTGGGATCCCACCTTCTCAAACAGTACAGGCTTCAGAGGAGGGCCCTTCTTCCAGTCTTCCAGGGCTTCCTGCAGTTCCTTCAATTGCTCAGGGCCTATCAGGGAGAGGGTTATGGAATCAGTTCTTAGCTAGCCTCCTGAACTTTCTAGAGCCTAGTGTCTATTTTTGGTGTCTGCCAAACCTGTCATTTACTACTGCTTAATCAAAACAAGGAATCCCTTGACCGATGCTGCAATCCTCTTCCTTGTAGCCCCACTCTTCACCTGTGCTTTCCTGTGTCTCTGTCCTCACCTGGAGACCATAGCTATGCACGCCTCAGAACTTTTTTCCCCTTCTGAAAGTTTCCCAAAAGAACTGGGATATGGAGTAGGCAGTATAGAGAGGACTTACCAAGGAGCCAGAGGATGGAAATAAACTTAGAAGTAAAGTAAGAGGAACAGAGAGTGGTAGCAAGTTGGCAATAGGGTCCTCAGGTCCCATTTTCCTAAGCACAGGCTGAAGACAGGGACAAGGTTTTGAATGACAGTATGGGGCCTCACCAAACTCAGTAGTAGGCCAAGCCAGCTCTAGGTTACTAGCAGAGAAAGGGTTCAGGCACGAGGGATCAGGCTTTGGTAGCAACTCCAACAGCTCCCTGAGTGCAGTTCGATCTTGTGAGCCAGGCAGCCCATGCATCTGTGCATATATGTTGGCAGCTGCCAGCACGTAGAGGAAATGCATGTCCTGCAGCCAGGCAGAAAGCAGAGCAGATGCAAGAATGTAAATAAATATTGTGGGTATATGGGATGGGGTTCCTTGCCCTTCTGTGGATCTATTTAAGTGTCTGACTGTCTCAAGCACAGACACACAAAATGGCTCTCCTTTTAGCAGAATGTAGAGATGTCTATCTCTACACTAAAGGGACACATGTCTGAGGAACTCCACTCACTTGGCTGGGGTCAAATTGCAGGGGCTGAGGGCATTGTTTGGGTCCCCACCAGAATGGAGTTCCATCCTCAAGCACCTAGGGAAATAGAGGCTGTTGGGCTCAGTCTGGTCCTCCAGAGCCCTCAGCTGCCCGACCCCTGACCACCCACTTTATCAGATGGGAAATATCTCAGCAGGTCTATGATGCCATCGTGGAAGCGTAGTTGCCAATGGCCAAGGGCCCACACCACACAATCTTGCCAGGTCCGTGGGCGCATTCGCAGGACACACAGCACCTGCTGCAGTGAGGTCAGTGTTGGCGTCTTATCCATGTCTGCCAGTGAAGTGCATGCCCTGTGGAGGGACGAGGAAGTTGGGGGCTGAGCTCTGAGCTAGATTCTCTTCTGTCCCTGTTGGTGGCCTTACTTTTGGTAGCAGTTGATGGTCTCTGCAGATAGTCTGAAGAGTCCCTCAAATTCATCCCTGGCCCACTGTTAGGGAGGAAATGATGATAAGGCGTTAGGTGAGAAGCAGGACTGCAGCTGAGGGCTGAGCAGAGGTAGAGCAGGTTGTGCTTACCTGCAGGATGTGCTCAGCGGTGCTGGGGAAGTGCCGCAAAGTACAGACAGGGTGGGGAGCATCCTCAGATGCTGCAGTTGAGGCAGGGCCTTTGTAGGCTTCAGTCACATATGGCACAAACACTGAAGCACTCCCCCTGGTGCCCTGTGTGCCTGCCTCCAGCAGTGGTTTCAGATAGTGGGTACATCGAGCAGCAATATAATGCCCTGGCAAGAAGACACAGGGTCAGGAATGAGACTGCCAAAGTCTTGGGCAAGGAACTCAGCTCCAAGTTAAGCACTCACGGGCCTGGAAGCTGTCTAAGGCAGCAACCACACCATCCACCCTGGAGAAGAAGTTGTCCCCATAGATGTGCTCTGTAGTGTGATCCAGTGGGTAGGTGCATGGAGTCACTTGCAGGTCTGGGTTCAGACACCGAGCAGCTTCTGCGGCCACCTCTGCCTTGGACCTCTGGAAAGAAGGGAGGAAAATGGGCACATTATGAGTAGGCAGCCTGGGCCACAGGGGCATTAGAGGGGTCAGCACTTACCCCAATATCTTGGGGCCTGAAGAGGAATTGCCGGCTGAGGTTGGAGCGCTCTATGTGGTCCATGTCAGCAACAGTCACACCTCCATCAATGCCAGCTCCCAGGCCTACTAGGGCAAAGCCTTTGAGTACCTCACAACCAATGGCACCAGCTCCCACCTGATGACAGAAACAGGCTTAGCCAAAAGACTTGGTCTGGCTTCCCAAAGACATCCCCACCCATATCCCACAGCTTACCAAGAGGTAGTGCTGGCAGTTCAGTTTCTCCTGAAAACCAGCCCCAAATACTGCAATTTGCCCATCATAGCGGCAGTCTCTCTAGAGAACACAGACAAGGGCCAATGATAGCTGATGGTGTGTGCTACATACCTTTTCACTGAGTTGTTTAAATCAGGACCTCAGGATCATTCCTCAGGTTTCTTCCCTACCCCCGATCTTGAACAAGGCTTTTACCCCCGTTTTAGACTCTACCAGATCACAGTCTTCAGGGTTAGGGAGGAGCGCCTCGTCTTCCGGAAGACAGTCAAGGGCATCAAAATACAGCCACTGGTCCAGAGGCATGAACTTCCTGGAGATTGCCTAGGGATGGGAACTTCACTCTGGGGACTTCTGCCAGCTCCCAGTTCCTAACTCTCTTGGATCCCAGCCGAGGACTGCACGCATCTTGATTGGGAAAGCCTCCAGAGCTATGCCCTCTGGCACACACACACCCACATACACTGACCTGACCAAATTCCTAGCCCCTCCCTTTCCACACCTGTGCCCACCTTCAGGACTTCCTGGGCAGCCACTCCTCCCAGAATGGCTGCCATAGGGCTCAAACTACCAGCACTACTCAGGGCAATTGTCTGCAGTAGAGCCTTATCTAGTGATTCTTCTTTTGTCCCTTTTAGTGGCTCCAGGTCCTGAGCCAGGTTCACCATAGTCTCTGCATCAACCTGTGGGATGGCACACAGGCATAGCGTATGTGGGACTAGCATCCCCACCCTGAATTCCACATCTCACCCAAAGTCTTTGGTCATCTATCCACTTTGTTCCACAGAAGCAGAAGCCTAAATAGGAAAGCCTAGCATTTTTACCAGCCTGCACAGCACTACCAGAGGCTGTCCAGCACCATACAGAGGTCCTGGAGGTATCACCAATGTGAGTGTCACTTGCAACCCAGCTCTGATGGCTTAAGGATAGAGCAGGGGTCCCAAGATTTTAGGCTGGGTACTTCCATGGGCATAACCTCTAGTATAAGGTAGTGAGACTCATATACTTTTAATTTATTTATTTATATGTGTATGAGTGTTTTGCCTACATGTATGTAAGTGCACCATGAGCGTGTGATGCCCACGGAGGCCAGAAGAGGCATTAGATCCCATGGAACTGGAGTTACAGTTGTTAGCTGCCATGTAGAGAGTAGCCTCTACAAGAGTAGCCAGTGCTCTTAACTCCTGAGCCATCTTTCCAGCCCCCCATCTACCTTTTTTAGTGGGGAATCTGCCTCTAGGGTTCAAATTTGGATCTGTAAATGGTCATTGAGGTGTGATCTGGAAGGTGAGATTCCAGTAAGACAGAGACTGTGGATGTGCAATGGGGCCACTCACAGGATCCCAGGGCTTGGGCAGCCGGTCGTGAAATTGCTGGAATTTGTGCAGTGCGCGGAAGGCCTGATGCAGGCAGTAGGCACGGTGAACTTCTTGAGTGTTCTGAGCTACCATTCGAGGCTGAAGCAGAGCTGTATCCAGGGGCTCCTGTAGGGGATACTTGGTTCAGAGTCAGTTCCAGAACCTTGTACACTCCTGCAGGTAGCCAAGTGCTCCCACCTCTGATGTACTTGCACTCACATGCCTCATAGTCTTGGATCTCTTGACTTCAGTGATAATTCCACCACGCAAGTAACGGGAGAAAGCTGTTGTGTCCCCAATCTCTAAGGACCCATCCTCTGGAAGAAATTCATCCTAGTAATTGATTATCCCTAAACATAAATAGTTCCCACATCCATACTATCTTCCACCTAGGTCCTGACCCTTGCTGCCACCTGGGGAAGGTGAAAGGCAAACCTGTTCCCAAGGACCAGGTTGTTTTCATCTCCCATGGTGGCTTAAGTTTTGAGCAAAGGATTGGAGTGGGGTTGGCTTACTCCGCAAATGGATGGGCTGTGGAGGACAACTGTTGAGTTCAACCATGCCATCAATGCCTGAGAAAATCACCAAGTCCCCATCACAGAAGGAGTGTCTTTTGGTGCCTTTTCTCAGAGTGACAATGCCAGGAGATCCCTGGGTGAGAAATAGTTTGCTTCAAGAATGCCTGTACCTGCCTTCCACAGGCCCTGGCACTCTTCCCTGGACACCAGATAAATGCCTACATCTCAGCACCTACCTGGGAGATGTCCTGGATGGCAGCTGTCATAGGTTCCACCTCTGTAGGGTCCTCCACAGTGAAGTCCTCACCAAAGTCACAGAACAACTGCCTAGTGTGGTTGGCAGGAGTCACTGAGGTTTTGGGTATTGGTAGGGGACACTAGGACAGGCTTAGATGGCCTGAATTAGGAGAGGAATTCTTGGAAAGATTTAAAAATTAGAATTTGGGTGGGTAGAGTGTACTAGAGCAAGGCTAGAGGTGGGAGTCAAGGAATCAGGGTAAGGCTATAATCCAGAATTGGAGAGGATACTGGGACAGGTTTGAGGCTGGGTGGGAAAGGACAGGACCATTTAGGGCTAGGGAAAACATTGGGACCAATTGTTGGCAGTAATATGGTAGAATATACAGCTAGTCTCACCCCACGAGGCCCCGAGTATCAGCCACCAGAAAGCAAACTCCATGCTTGTGGCACAAAGTGCCCACCCTCAGCTGCTCTTCTAGCTTTGAGGCAGTCAGCACCACCACCTAGATGGGCATCATGATCATCAAGACCAGAATCACTGCCTGCCATTTCTATTGTTAAGGGCCACGGGGATGAACTGGCCTGGCATGGAAAGTGGGGCTGGGGGAAGCACCTGGAATCCTAGTAGTAGGTCCTCAGTGATGTCACCTGTATGAATGGAGACTTGAACAGCTTCATTGAGCTGAACCAGTGCTTCTCGAGAGACTTCAGCCCTGTTCCTTCCCAAATTCTCTTCTGAGAGGAAAAACTAAGGACAGACCAGTGCAGCTTGAGCAAAGAGATTCCCCTTTGGCCCTGGTCTTCCCATGCTCTGGGAGCATAGAAACCTCCATAACTCTCACCTGAGCAGCCAGGTCAGACCAGCAAGTGGGATGAGGATCATGCAGAGTGAGGCTGCCCACACCCATCAGAACCAAGTTCTTGGCCACCTCAGCTCCCAGACCCTGTAGGCCAGAAAGCAGGACCTTAGCTTTCTGGATCCTCTGCATGGCAGGTAGACCCAGCACATACCTGTGGGTAAGAAGTAGAAGGGTAGGCAGCTGGAGATCAGAGGTTTAGAGGCCACCCCACTGCATATTCCACCTCGAGACTCACAACTGCCTCGAGTACAGCTCCTCATCCATCCTCAGTTCTGGGGCTGAATAGCAGGCTGCAGTGGTTACAGCTATGGTCTGGGGTAGGAGGGCTTAGAGCTGATAGAAACAGGCTCCAAAGCCAAGGGAGTGAAGGACAAAGGACACAGCTACTCAGCTGCTCACTGCTTGTTACAACCTTTTTCCTGGCTCCTCTGTCATTTCAGGAAACCAAAACTGAAACTAGACTGAATTGGCTCCTGGTCCGGCCAACAAATGAGGACAGATACCAGCCCTCCACAGGCCAATTGGGGTCTATTGCCTGGATAAGTCTCAGTACTAGGAGAGAATCATCAGTCTCTGAGTCAGACCTAAGGGTGGGAGGCATAGTTCTTATGTTTTTTTAAACATTTGTTTTTGAAATAAATATAGGCTCAATAACTTGTAAAAACAATACAAGGAGTTGCTATGTACTCCTCACAAGTCTTTCTTTTTTAAATGTTTTTCATCAGCATATATTAATTATATATAGTAATATATTTTATTATGACATTTTCATGCATACAGAATGTATTTTGATCATATTCACCCCATTACCCTTTCTTGTCCCCACCACTCTTGCTGATCCCTTTCCTCTTCCCAAGTCTCCCTTCCACTTTTATGTCCTTGTTGGTTTTTGTGAGTTTCATTAACGTTACTAACAGGAGTATGGGTGAGCGATTGTCAGAAGCCATGGCACCTTATGAGTAGCTACAAAACTGAAGAAACGCTGGGCATGGTGGCACATGCCTTTAGTCCCAGCATTTGGGAGGCAGAGGCAGGTAGATCTCTGTGAGTTCAAGGCCAGCCTGGT